GTCTCCTGCCTTGCTTTATAATCTCATTGCCATACTCTTGAATTATTGTGTTACAGTGATTTCTCTTTGGTTTTAATAAATATGGCTAAATAAAATACACTATTTTATCTAGCTAATAGCCAGATCCTATCCTTGATTTTAGCTGCTGTTGCTGTGTAACTACAGGCTTCTACTACAACTGAAAGAAGTGCACGCAAATATGTTCAGTTCTAACCCCCCTTTCTGTAACATCTAAGGTGTGAGTAGAGACCCTCCCAAAGAATCGTTGGCCAGGATGTATGAAATTGTGTTATAACGTCATAATGTCAAACATATTCATCTATATCTAAATAGGCCTGCCTGATTCAGTGCTGTCTACTTTATCTGGCAGCTGGTAGAGAGATGGGCATCTCTTTCAAATGTCATTTCTATGTGCAAGAAAAACTCAGTTTACATATAAAGGGTCTGAGCTTGCAGAAGACTAGACTATGAATGTCTCTTTAAAATGTGAATGTGGCTAATGCGATATGCAATTTTTGAAATATGGTTGTATGATTCGAAAAATTCTGGAGGACATGCTTTTTTTTGCTTTGTTCCTGTGAAGGTAGAGTTTTGAGGCTAAATATTCAGGCTCTCCTACTACTGAAGGCGCAGCATTGTCCACACTAGCAAACAGTACGTATGATGGTAGATATAGTTACACAACTGTGGTCTTTAAAAAAATATATAAGCCGAGGAATCCTGAGTGATGAGTCCAGATGTGCGATTAGCCTTTAGCCACAAAGGATGGGCATTTCACAGGTTACCTAGGGCCACTCAACTACCGGTAAGCAAGTAATGATGTCTCATTGATCTTCCCTGCAGCATTTCTATCATCTCTGCTTTGTGCTTTGGACACTTTCAGGCCATGGAAGTTACTGCAGCCAAGACATCTGATCTGTCCGTTCATGTTGCCCAGACATCCTTAAGCAGCCTGAGTATAATGTATGAATTGGTTCTGAGGAGTGGATTGGACTGAATGTGGACTAAGAAAAGACTTAGGTGTGGAGTAACCATTGGAAAAAATGCTTGGAAAGCTTGCACAGGTAGTGGCTTCTTGCCTATGATGAGATGGCTGTATATATCCACAGCCACATGTAGCAGTTGGCTTTCAGCTCCCCTTTGAGGCAATCGGAAAAACAGGCCTGCAGTCTCTTTGTCCACAGTCATCACACACCTAAAGTAATGTATGAGGATGAGTTATTGAGAGATCGATGGTGAAAGAGACAGCAAGAGTTTTAGTGTTGGAGGGAAACTTTGCTTACCATTTTTAAACTTTCCCCACAGATCTGGAAAACACCATGACAGACTGAAGTGTTTTGTGGAAATCCTTGCCTAAGCAGCTGTGATTGATGCTCAATGGTGCAGTTAGATAATTCCCCCCATGGTAATTTATACATCACATCCAACAAACTTGCCTCATCTCATCCCACCATATCAAAAGTCATTACGACCATGTGTACCAGGAGCTTTCAGTGGGAGTGTGTGCACAGCCACTTTTTCATGTGAATAGGATAATGTGAATTTTGCCTGCATGTACAGCTTCATGTTCATATGTACTAAAGCTGTACATGCATGGAAAATCTCTATTCATGTGAAATGGTGACTGCACATATTGGAAGCATTGTGAGTAACATGAACTCTCGGTGGTGGGTTCCTGTTATGTGTGGTTGTAACGTCATGTTTAAAGGTAAAGGTTTCCCTTGTTCAAAATTTAGTTGAATCCGACTCTAATGGGTGGTGCTCATCTCTGTTTCCAAGCCGAAGAGCCAGCACTGTCCAAAGGCTGGCACGTGGCTGGCATGACTAAATGCCGAGGCACACAGAATGCTGTTACCTTCCCACCAAAGTGGTACCTATTTATCTACTTGCAATTTCTTGCTTTCGAACTGCTAGGTTGGCAGGAGCTGGGGCCAGAGACAGGAGCTCACTCCGTCGCACGGCACTAAGCAGGCATCGCTAGCCACAGGCTGCATCCCCCTACCCTGCCCCGCTGAGCCTGTAATCTCGGGCTCTGGATTTCTACCCCAAAGGCTGGTCCTGATAGCTCCACTGTTAATACAAAGGTCTTATGTTTTGAAATTAATAGCTCTTTACTACTACTAACAACTGCACCTGCTTTCTTTCACACAATAGAGTGGCAACTAGTTACTTTTAAACTAGAAAATAAAATAAGTTACATTTATTTTCCTATGCCTATGCTACTTTAATGGAAGTTAGCTTTCTCATACATTCCAGTGTGATGAGGAATAAGCAAGGATTCCAAACTTGTCAAAAAGTGAAGCTTTTTCCTCCTTGTGAGAGGGTGACAGAACTTTGACAGTTGATTAAGACCAACATAAAAATCTGATTTCATATGCATATTGATTCATCACATTGAGAATACTGAGAACAGTTTAACAAGAACTGTTCAATGACCTCAACTTGATGTGGTTATAAGGGGGATGCTGAAGTTCTCCAAAGCACCTGCTCTTGTTGGCAAGTACTGGGTGCTATATTTTTTATTGACCTGAAGTCATCCAATAATGATGACCTACTTCTAGTAACCAAGTTTCATTCTGGGTTGCTATATTAAAAGAAAGACATCATTTAGCCCAGGACTGGCAAACTTTACTCACAATGCAATTGAAGTCAATGGCTTAGAAAGGTATAACTCTGTACTGTCAGGCAGATAAAGGGATGGACAACAATCTTTTCCTTGGAGACAAAATGACTTTTGTTGTTGTTGTTCAATCACACAGTTGAGTCTGACTCTTCACGACCCCATGGACCACATCACACCAGGCCCTCCTGTCTTCCGCCATCCTCTGGAGCTTGCTCAATTTCATGTTTGTTGCATTGATAACACTGTCTAACCATCTCATCCTTTGCCATCCCCTTCTTCTTTTACCTTCAGTCTTTCCCAGCATCAGGGTCTTCTCCAGTGAGTGCTCCCTTCTCATTTGGTGGCCAAAGCATTTGAGCTTCAGTTTCATTATCTGTCCCTACACAAATGCTCAGTTTAAGGCAGGCCTTTGTTTTCAGTGATGTGCAAATATTTTATTGATTGATTGATTGCCCACCTTTGTCAGTGAAATTCAAGGCAGATTACAAATATGAATTTAACCAGACAGTATAAACCATCCACGAAACAATAAAATTTGACTAGGATTATATAATTGGAAAATAATGCAAAACAGCAATGTCCCCAGACTTACCTGGGGTTGCCTTTGTGACTGTGGGGTTGAAAGCAAGCAAGGGTGGGGGAACCTCTCCTTCCTCCCCTTGGCTTCATGGCTGTAGTAAAGAGCCAGGTGCACGGGCACCAGCAGCAGCCCAGGCCAGCCAATCATCCACCTGGGGCCAATGGGGGGGGGGTGAAGGTTCCAGGAGGACCTAGAAGGCAGAGGCTTCACTCTAGTCTGCCTTTGCTCTATTTCAGTCAGTGCTGCTGTGCGGGCTTGCTCACTGTGAGCTGAAGCTTCCCACCCCACCATTTCTCAGTTTGTGCATTGTGGCAGTGTGTTAATTCGGTCTTCTTACTTGCATGCTGTGTCACACTTTAAGGTAGGTGGTTTGGGCATCAGGCTGGATCCTTGGGGGGGGGGGCTGAGCCTGTGTGCCTGCCTCCCCCATTCTGGGGACCCTCATAAGGGAGTAGAGCTGTTCAGCCATGTGCCCACTTTGGGGGCTGTTGCCTGGCCCTCACCTCCAGGTGGCAGGGAAACCATGCAAAGGCTTGTGCCCACAGGCTTGCCAGGTCCCCTCGTTGCTCCAGCGGGGGGATTTGGGGGGCATTCTGGGGGTGGGGGGATGCCCCAAGCCCTGTCCCCCCAGCCACACCCCCAAGAGTGACCACCTGCCCAGCCACCCCTTTCCCTCCCCTCCTGCCTGATTTAAAGGGCTTCAGCTGATTGGCAGGGACCACGTGGCCCACTGATCAGATGGAGGTCCCTTTAAATCAGGCAGAAGGAGAGAGTGGTGGTCAAGTGGTTGGTCGCTCTTGGGGACGGGGCTTGGGGCAGAGTTTCTCCCACTGGCCTGCTGGCCGGGGGTGGATTAGAGCCCCCCAAAGTGGGGGAACCCCTGCCTGGACCTGGGGGCCAGTAGCCTGTGTGCCCATGTGAAATCCTGGCACTTGCAATTCCATGTTGCTCCCCCAACAGGCAGGCTAGGAGAGGGTGGGTTTCATTGGTCAACAGGTGGGTTGTCCATTGCTGGCTACGTGCCCCATGTGTGCCAGTGCTCCTATAGTTGTACTCAATAAAGCTGTGGCTTGTTTCAGTCCAGTCATGTTCATTGGTTGGTCTGTTCTCCACTTCACCCATGCTCCCTCCTAGGACTGCAAATACCTGTCTAAGGACCTTGGACTTTAATTTCCTACCTAGCTACCCTGTCTCTTGATTAGTAATGATAGATTACTCAGGTGAAATTCTCACATCAGCCATTAGGCAAATCTTTTTTTTTAATTGATATATCTCCAGATATTTTATGCATATCTTAACACTTCATTTTTCATATTCTCCTCTAAGAATCAAATTAAACATTGAAAGCGTATAAGTACTCTCTATCCTCATTATCTTATTCCCTTTCTTTACCCGCTTGCCCAAACCGCCGTACAACTTCCTCTAATTCATGATCTAAACATTATTACATTCTTCTTTAAGTTATTCAAGACTTCTATACTTCTTTTGCTGGATCCCCTCCGTGCATCCTTATTTTATACTTATAGTCTTTCTTCCATACCTATAAAGGAAAGTTGAACAGGGTTGCCTCCGAAACTGGGTGCTGCAGAGGAAGCCTCTGCAACAGGAGAAAACCCTCCTCCCTCTTATCGGGGGACTTCCCCTCCTTGCTATGCCTGTTGGCTTTAACTATTCCATTCCTATTGTCTATTTCCCATTATTATTATTTCCAGTCATCCTATCTACTAACTCTAACTTAGTCTATATACTAACATACTATCATACTAACTCTCTTACTTTATGGATTACCTTTCTGCTTCAAAACATAATATCACAGTTCAAACACTTCCATTCCTTAATTTGGTTACTTCCTCTACTAAATCTTCTAAAGTTCTTTAAGTAGATAGGCATTTATTTAGATGAAATATTTGTTTGTTCATGTTTTTCTATTAAGGGAGAGTTAGGAGGAATCTGATATTAATCTAATCTAGTCTTTTGCAACTCTGCTGTTGGACCATTGGTTCATCCAGTCTAGTACTGTCTACTTTAGTAGTACTACAGTTCCCAAAACAGAGGTCTCTTCCAGCTGTGCTCCCCAAGATCTGTTTTTATCCTGCTTTCTCTAAGAGCTTTAGTAATGGAGTAAATAGTTCTTCCTGCCTTTTCCCTCTTGACAATAGATGTAGGTTAGGCTGAGAGACTGATAGACAGAGTGAGGATCTGAACCTGGGCCACCCAGGTCATTCAAACCACTATACCATAGTGGATCACACTGACATTTTTAAAAAGGAATTTAGATTTTTTGGAGATGGAACCCTAAAATCTTACAAATGTGCTCAATCACTGAAATTTGGTCCCTGCCAGCCCCTCTACCCCTCCTTGAACCCTGCAAGCAAATGTTTATAGTGGAGATATAATTCCAAGTGTGTAAAAGCATAACGAATTTATTGTACATGAATAATTTTTGGTATTACTTTTTCACAGTGATGGACTTAAATTTGGAGGTGCCTCAGATTAGCAGATTATCTGATTTTGAATAAAGGCCTACCTTTTGTGCTTTAGGCATATCAGTATGGCGCTGAGCACGTACAGACCGTGCTGATTTCGGTGGTTTGGCAGGTGCACAGTACATCTCCAGGCGCTTCAGGTCACAGCTCTGGAAACAGCATTCATCCACTATTCCTTTGGTGGGGTTTACACGTCTATTGCTTCCATACCCTGCTGGTTTACCTGTATGGGACAAAAACATCAACAATTGATTAGAGAAGTCTCAAGAATCTAATTTTCGAGTATTGTTAGCTGGGTCATCTCTCGGCATGAAACAAAGCACGTGCTTTGATATATTTAATTGAACCATCTTGAGAAAGATGAGAATCAAAACAGGCTTAAAAGGGAACAGACATGTCCTTATCTCACGGCCCCACTGAGAAAATTTAATTCCACTCACTAACTTTGGACTCCAGCGATTAGTCAGGTAAAATTTTATGTGACTGTTATTTTGATTTTAAAAATTAACGTTTCTGTGATTCTTCGAAAGCAGTGAAAGGTCTATTAAATACCTGATAATTACAGAACAAACTATGCATAGATCAGACACCTCAATTCCTCAGGTCCACTAGGGATAAAATAATGGATAAGAAATAATGTCAAGAGAAAATACAATTATAATGGGCAGTATGGCATCTCTCCATCTTTCATCTGATGGGCAGTTGCATTCTTTGATTACTTTTTTTGGGTTGTTCACGGCTCCCCATGGACAGATGAATCCAAAAGTTACATTCTGGTTTAATATTTTTGGAGAGATGGAGGACTGAATGCCAGGACTTCCTATTTGAGATAAGGAAACTTACGTATTTAAACTTTGATCTTTTATTTGGTTTCTTAAGAATATGAGCCCTTAATAGTTTGAGATGAAAATTTCCAGTCTTTTGTTTCTTATCATAGTTTGGTATGTGTGCAGGGTTTTTTGTTGTTTTTTTAAATTGAGCAGTAAGGTGGTGTCTCCTAGAGGGTTGCCAGTTTCCCCCTGGGGGAGGAGATGTCCCACCTGGAGCTCCTGTTGCTCAGCTGGGCAGTGGAAGGAAAGCCCTGGGAGAAACAGAAGGTGTGAGCAGCTTCCCCGGCATAGGATTCTAGGCTTCTGGCATTACCTGGAAGTGACTTCATCACATTGGGTGATGCTCTAGCCATCACCCAATAGAATTTTCGGTGAATGCTAGAACATAACCCTGGTGCAATGATGTAACTTCTAGAGTCTGCCAGAAGTGATGTCATTGCTTCATGGACACCAGTGGCTTCCCACACGAGATGGAAGTCCCTGCCCCCCATCTCCCATTGGTTGCCAGGCCATGCAACCCTAGTCTCACACAATTTTAAAAAACTGTTCAGACATATTTATAAATAGTATGACTTTGGTTGACTAATGGAAGCTTTCAAAGGAGCTAGGTCTTATTGTATAAGAAAGTATATTTTTCCACACTCTGCTGAAATCTGCATACAATTTAGCTGGATGGAAATCACTGGGGTTTGTTTTCGTAATTGCTTCCTAATGTTGTCTTTCTTTCTTTCCCCCCATATTAACAATGGGAAAGCTACGTTCAGAAATTCACTACAAGATTCGTAATGGCTGCATGAGAACATTTCCGGCTTCTAGTTGAACAATTTAATACTTTGGGAATTCTGGGGCAAATGTGTCAAACATGATAAAAAGGTATGATTTCCCCATGCTAACATCTCATGTGGGATTGCATGTTATTCCTACTAGCTACTATGCACTGGAAATCCCATGGGCATATTGTCTGGAAGATGACATGTGCTGCATCAGAACATCTGTTCTCATGCAGATATTTCTGAGGTTTTGACTACAAAAACTGGTCGGGTATTTCCATGGCATCTTATAGAACACATTTTAAAAACTGATCCTTTGCTTTGGGTTAACCAGCCATAGATAATCGCACGACAGTCTTCGTGCTTGTAACAGTTGTACCTAATGGGGGAATGGCTCATATCACAGCTTGTAAGGACTTGCTTGCATTGTTAATGCTTGAAAAGCAGTACAATTTTGCACCCATGTGAATGAAAGAATTACTAAACTCATGGGATTAGAAATTTTTGAACTACTGTTCCTTTATTGCCCCAGAACTTCACTCTCTGCTAAGACTTAGTTCTCCTTAATTTCTGGTTTAATTTCTGTAACTAACTCTGGAATGGGAACTTGCGAGAGTCAAGGAAGGGCATATGAGTTGCTGTTGGCACGATAGTGCCACCTCACTTCTGGGAAAACCCAGGAATGACATCACACTGTTCTGGTCCATAGAATTTTTGACAATGCCTGGACTGCTGTGACATCACTTCTGGGGGAGACCCAGAAGTGACATAATGATGTTGTGCTGACTGCAATTTTTTTACTTTATTGTTATCTCACTGGCCTCTGGGGGTGGGAGATCTCTCAGCCCCAGTGGGTAATGGGCAACCCTGCAAGCCAGTTCCTAATGCAGAATTCCTAGTGCATCTGTTCCTGGTGAGAAACAAGCGTGGGTGACAGAGAGCCAGACGTCTGGGGCAAAATTCATATGAGGAAAATTTTGGAAGCAACTCCATGGGAGTTTTAATAGACCAGCTCTTCTCTTGTAATAAAATAAATATTGAGCCAACAACATGCTGTACTCTGAACTATGCATTTGCTTTATAGGGTTGCCAGGACCTACATTTCTGCCGGGGAGGGGGATCTCCGGGCCTTTCAGAGACCCCAATTTTACCATAGAGTTTTGCCCCCAAACTAGAGCGTCACCATGTGATGTTGGTGGCGTGGTGACATCACTTCTGGGTGACATAATCGTGCTGTGTTTTGGGGCATTTGTGGGTGGGGTTGCCCCTGCCAGCCAGCTGGCCAGCAGCAGGGAGGAGCCTGCAAAAGCAGGGGAAACCCCACCTGGACTAGGGGGCTGGAAACCCTATTGCATTATCATTATAAATACTAGAAGATTTCAGCAACTGTTCCCGGGGGCTATAAATTAATTCAAGATTTAATACTTTGCCAATCACAAAAGACCCCCTGCTTGAAGTAAAAGCCACATTATGAATGAAAAGGCTCTTTAAGAGCCAGTTTGGTGTAGTGGTTAAGTGTGTGGACTCTAATCTGGGAGAACCGGGTTTGATTCCCCACTCCTCCACTTGCACCTGCTGATGTGACCTTGGGTCAGTCACAAGCTCTGGCACAGCTGTCCTTGAAAAAGAGCAGTTTGTGTCAGAGTTCTCTCAGCCCCACCCACCTCACAGGGTGTCTGTTGTGGGGAGGGGAAGGGAAAGGAGGTTGTAAGCCGCTCTGAGACTCCAAGTGAAGGGCGGGGTATAAATCCAATCTCTTCTTCTCTTCTTCTTTAAAATAGGCATGAAAGGTCAAATTAACATGTATATGGTACTATAAGGGTGCGTTCAGATGGGGCGTTTCAGCCAGCATAAACTGTACCGGTTGGAACCGGTGCAGTTTATGACGGCTGAAACACGATCACACTTACCTCCTGTCTGCGGAGCCCATTGCTGTATGCCCATTCACATGCAGCGGGCGTCGGCTTTTTTTTTTTTAACTCAGCTTGAGCATGCGCATAGGCAGCCATCCACAGAATGGTGATCTTCACGCATGCACAAAACACCCCGTCTTACATTTAAAGTTTAAAGGTAAGGACTTACCTTTAAAGTTTAAAGACCAAACTGGCCTCCCTGAGGTCTCGGAGTCCTCCAAAACCTTAAACTAAGGACCTCTTCTTTTTTAAAAAACAAATGCCGGGGCGAAGCTTCGCCCAAGCGCATATCGCCAACCTAACAAAAACAAAATGGCGGGCGAAAATTGGAAGCTTCGGGCTTCCGAACGGAAGTGGCTCTACAACGTTGGAAAGCGATCAGATGGGGGTAAAGCGATTACAACCGTTGCACTCAGAATACCACCACTTGGGGACCTAGTGGCAGAATACAACGGTGTAAAGCTCTTTGCAACGGTTAGGGACGGAAGGCAGATGTTTGCCGTGTGAACACCGGTAAGTACACCGATTCCAACCGGCACCTATACCGTTGCAAATGCCCCATCTGAACGCACCCTAAATGTTAAAAAGTAATTGGCCAAAAAGCTGCAGAAAGCTAGAAAAAGAATGAAGTCTTTGAGCCCACCCTAAGGTGGGCCTAAGGTGCTCTGTCTAAGGTGCCCTGATGTTGGAAAAACCTGAAGGTGAGAACTACCAGAGCACTTTATTGAAACAAGCTTCTCATATACTTTGACCATTGTTGTAGCACCATGGAATATTCATAGGGTTGCCAACCTCCAGGGCCCCCCTGAAGATTTCTTGGAATTATAACTGATCTCCAGACTGCAGAGACCTGTTCCCCAGGAGAAAAAGGCAGCTTTCTAGGGTGGATTCTATAGCATTATAACCTGCAGAGGTCCCTCCCTTCCCCTCACCACAGCTTATCCTCTCCGGGCTTCACCCCCAAAATCTCCAGGAATTTCACAGCCCAGAGTTGGCTTTCAGGTGTTAACTACTCACAGCAACCAAGGGACAGAAAGGCCTGTTAGTGCAGAGACAAGAAAATGCAGCACTATTTCAGAAGCGCTTACACACATTTTGAAGTAGAGATAGGCTTATCCCACTACCTTGGATCAGAGTAAGGCTCAGGAAGTTGAGATGTTTCTCAAATTTGTCAGATTTCCAAGCTACTTTCAGAGCTTGGAATGCCTCAGAAGAGTCATTGCTCTCCCTCCTATCCCTTCTCTTTTCTCCCATCCCCTTTCACTTACTTGTTGGCTACCCCTCCTACTTTTTAAAAAAAAGAAGGCTGGGAATCCAGAAGAACAAATGCCTCAAATAAACCATGTATTACAAGCCCAAAATCTGGAAACATGCAGACAGATCATACAGTAATGTTGGTGCTGGGATGTGGCCAGAGGGCATTCAGATAAGCAGAAGAAGAAGAGGAGGAGGAAGAGGAGGAGACTGGATTTATACCCCGCCCTTCACTACCCAAAGGTGTCTCAGAGCGGCTTACAAACTCCTTTCCCTTCCCCTCCCCACAACAGACACCCTGTGAGGTAGGTGGGGCTGAGAGAGCTCTTGACAGAAATTGCTCTTTTTCAAGAACAGCTGTTATCAGAACTATGGCTTGGCCAAGGTCATCCAGCCAGGTGCAAGTGGAGGAGTGGGGAATCAAACCCGGTTCTCCCAGATTAGAGTCCGCACACT